TTATTTTTTATTAAAATAAGGAAAAACATGATTGTGGGTGGACTTCCTAATTTTTTTCCTCAGCAACCTGTGCTTTCCAAAGCTCAGGAAGCCACAAGGATTCCCACTGGAACAAATCCCTGTTTAAGGCACAATCAGTCAAAGCTCTGCCTTTACTCTGTCATTCCTTCTGATATTCCTGCCCTTATCAGTTTTGTTTCCATCATTACTCTTTCCATCTTATCTTTACTAAAAAGAAAACCTTCCAGGGAAACTGCCTGGCTCCTCCAGGGGCTGGGAGAGGCACCACTATCACAGAGACATCTCCACAACAGCCACATGGACAATTAAACCAGCAGCAGATAACAGCAGAATTCCCTTCCTGCCTGCCTGAAGTGAAGTTTGGATTTTTTTTTGTGGAGAAAACAACCTTGTTAATTTTTCCAGCCATTTCCCACCATTGGCACATCCCCGTTTCTGTCACCAGGAGGAACCACCAGGGCTGTGCTGGATTCACTCCATCAGGATCCACATGATCAGGTGTGCAGTTTGCCTCTTCCCAACTTAACTGTGGAAAAACTGCTTGGATGAGTGCTGGGTTATGGAATTAATGGATAAGACAGGCTGCTCTCCAAGAAAAGGAAATTTGGAGTGTCTGCATTGCCATAAAACCTCTCAGGACAGCAAGGAGGAGTTTGAGCCCAAGGATAAAATTGTGGTTAAATTTAAAAGTTTCTTCAAAATTCTACATGTTTTAAAAGATCCTTTAGTTTCTAATGGTTATTTGGGATAGGTAGAAGACTGGAAATATACATGTGGGAAAAAGAAAATGCAAAGGTCCAAGTAAAACAAACAACTCCCCCCAAAAACTGAACCTATTGGAGGAGATTTTGTAGAACCCAACTAAACCATCCCTCCCAGTAAAAACACACCAAAATCTGTTTTATCTGCTCCATCTCTTTAGCCCACAGAAACACCACCACAAAAAGAGAAGACCTCCATGTGGAGAGGGAATAAATGGGCAATAGGAAATGGGAATAACTCTGTCCAACAGTTTGGCTGCTGGAGAAAAATGCAAATTATCCTTTTCAGGGTGGTGTTGCCAGTTTAACTCATCAGTTTAAACCACCAAAGCAATTTTGATCTGCAAGAATTTTATGTCACTGGAGATAATACTAAAAGGTTTTAAGGAAAGACATCAAAAGCTTTTAAAAGATTAGGTAAGGAGTATCCCTGTCCAAATAATGATATTGTTCAAAACTGTTATCCATTTGACCCATTTAAAAGTTTAAATTTGGGTGTTTTCTTTGCCATCCATAAATATACAGCCTCTTTTTGCTCCCACAGAATGATTCTAATCTCAAATTAAACAGTCCACACTGCTGCTGGAATTGTCATCCAGGTCCATCTCATGGTAAATAAAGCAACAGCATTTACAGGCATTAAAAACAAACCAAAAAAGCAAAACTCTCATAGAAAAGTTTAATTTCTTCCCATCTTCCTCTCTTCACTCCACTTCAGCCCAGTTTTTACTCTTATGTTTTGCAATTTATCTAAAACTAAATCCTGAACTACCCTAATCTCTCAGCTCCTACGAAGTCCCATTGAAGTCTGTGAAGAAAATTCTTTGTTACAATAAAAGAATTCTTCACTATAAATTCTTAAGAATTTCTAAAAATATTTTAAAGAGAATTCTTTACCTTGGAGAATTAAATACAATTTACAATGGAAAAGAAATCCTTCCCTGGGAGGGTGGGGAGGCCCTGGCTCAGAGGGTGCTCAGAGCAGCTGCGGCTGCCCCTGGAACCCCAGGAGTGTCCAAGGTTGGACAGGGCTTGGAGAAACCCAGGATAGTGAAAGGTGTCCACGGAATGGGGTGGAAAGGGAAGTGTTTAAGATCCCTTCCCTATGGAATTCACCCTGATGTACAAGGTGGGGACACTGCACTCCCAGATCCCCACGGCAAATCCGGCGCCTCTGGCTCGGTGAGGCTTCGTGGCATCCCAGGGATGCTGAGATCCACTGCCATGCCTCAAAAATGTAATGCATTCTTTTGTATACCCAGATGAGATTCTTTTACATGGAGTGGTTAAGCCAAAGGAAAGAAACAGGAAAAAATGAAAAAGCAAACAAAAAAAAAAGGAGAAAAATAAATAAATAAAAAAGAAGGGCCTTTGTCCCAAAACAGTTTTTCCCTTGCTTTCACTGGAAGAACCATCAAAAAAGCCACAGGGGTTGCTGAATGTTCTTCCATGACATTTAGTCTTAATCTTTACTTTCTCCACTCTTTATTTCCAGCTCAAATTCCCTACTCCAGCCTGAGCATTTCCCTGTTATCATCCCTTGTTTACAATTTCAGATCCACGGAGGCTGTTAAACCTTGTCCTGCAATTCCCCTCTCTTCCTCTTTCCATGCCATTATTCCTTAAGAGACCAGACAAAGGCACATTCAGGTGTCTTTGATAAATAAGGCAAAGCAGCATTTTAGCCCTGAACTAAGAATCTTAAATCATGTGGCTGAAATCCCTAGGAGTGAGTGTCCATGCAGACATGGCCATAAGTCATAAACCAGTTACATCCCTTCCAGTGCATTGCACCGAGCTCCTAAAATGGGATATTTGTGTACAGCACTCACTCTATGATCTATGAGCTTCTGGTACTGAAATTGTATAAAAAAACCCCAGATATTTCCTGAAATCTCTGATTTTCGTAACCTAGGTTAATGCAAGCAGGAATAAACACTAAATAATCACATATGAAAACATACACTGGATATCAGCAGGACAAAAATCTTATACCAAAATCCTCTTCATAGAAAATAGAAAATGTTTTTTGCTGTGTAAAGTTAATATAGAATGATATGGTTTTATAGGAAATCAACCTAGATAAATGTTTATGTGTTTGCAGATAATCCTGCCATTCAAAACCAGTGTGATGGCAAGGAATCCAATGGTTAGATGAAGAAAAAAAAATCAGCACAGAGTAAATGGAACTTTATGATTGATCAGAAACTGATCCCAGATTCCTGCATTTTCAAATTCACTCCTGTCCTCCCCTGCACTCACACAAGCAGGAGCTGAGCATTACACCTGATTTCTTGCTGTCCTAATTATAGTCTGAATTAACTTTTGCTAATACACCAAAGCCAAAAGGCAGGACAGAAGTGGGGCCCTGTAAATCCTGGAGTGGTCACAGGCCAGAGCAACCCCACTGTGCCAACCTAGGGCAGGACTCCTTTATTCCATGGAAAATCTACATTTCCTCTGGGTTGGGGTCACAGAATGCAGCTGGAAAGGAGCTCTGGAGGGCTCCAACCCAACCTCTTGCTCCAGTGAGATCCATCTTGATCCAGATGTTCATTATCAATCAAGTCTCACACTCCTACAAAGCCACAGATTTTACAACTTCTCCAGAGTTTTCATTTTCCTTGTACCTAACTGGAATCTCTTTTTCCCAAGCTGTGTCCCATGCCTCTCCCTTTGCACCTCCAGGACATGTCTGTCCCTGCCTTTTCCAAACCCTCCAGGAAGAAATGCACTTTTGTGATTCCCCCTCCCTGGATGACAGCTCTGCACTCTGAGTGTCACTAAAGCCACATCTCTATTTCACATTCATCCTTCTGATAGAAAATGGGCCCCATTTACCATGGAAATGAAACATGAACATGCAGAATAGACTGTCCACGAGGTGAACAGGGAAAGTTTCATAAATCTCCTTAAATCAAATCAACAGCTCCATTTAGACATTTCAACTGCTCCTTCCACTACTCACAGCAACTCCACCTTAGCATGCAAACAATTTTCAGTCCAACTGCCAGCTCAGCAGGGGAAGATTTAAATCTGGATTTTCTTGTCCCATAACTTTTCATTTCTTGGTTGTCAAGGCCTGAGATGTTCTGAATTCTGCGTACTGTAGGAGCAAGAGATACTGCCAACAAATCTTAATACCTCAGCAAGATTTTCCTCCTTTCTTTTGAAACAAAAGGAAATATTTTTCAAAGCAAGTTGGGTCCTTTTAGGCAGCTGAGGTCACAGTGTCAGTTTGTTGTTGAGTCACTGTTCTCTGTTAGGAAAAGGCACAGATTCCATAGATTTCTTAGGAATTATATCACTTAGTATAAACAATGCTATAATTTAATCATCATAATCTTTGGGTTTAATGTGGTTAGAAGGTAAAGTTGCTTCCTGGGTTAACTCTGTGCTACCTGGACAATTGCCCTTTTCTGCAACACTCATTTATTTTTAAAAGCTTTGATGAGATAGATAATTCTTGGAGTATTTTCTACAGTTTAACAAGTTTCTAATATAAGATTCTATCACGAAAATTCACTGAATTACTCCTCAAGAATGGCACTGTTCTTTGCTGAATGGGAATTCCCCGTGGAAAACAACAGAGTCTAAAATAGCTGTGAGATGGAAATCTCTCCTCTGCCTCCCTGGGTGCTCTCACCTGCCTCCTTCCACATCCCCAGCATGCACTGAATCCACTCCAGGCTCCCTGAATCCCTCCCCCAGACTTCTTTCCCAATTTTTTCCATCAGGTATTTTCTCAGGGTCTCAAGGACAGTGACTTGCCCAGAGTGACTGTGGATTCCCAATCCCTGGAAGAGTCCAAGGCCAGGCTGGACAGGGCTTGGAGCAACCTGGGATAGTGGAAGGTGCCAGACACAAAGCCCAACAACATGAGACACATTTTCATCTTAAAATTCAAAGCCTTCTTAATTTATTTTTATGACTTTTCTCCCCCTCACCTCCCTCTTCAAGCTTATCTCTGCAGCCCCAAATCCATCTCTTCCCTCTGACCGGAGTTTGGGCTCCTGAAATTTCTTCATCCCCCAAATCACATTAATTTAAATTAAATTAAATCACATTAATCTTCCCCTCTGTATTCTCTCCATTGATATGAGCTCTCCTCATCATCCCTTATTTTCTTATTTTATGTCAATAAGGATCTTATAAACTGAAGAGACAACTCCCTCATTTTAGCCTGGTGATAATTCCCCACATGAGGAACCTCCTGACCTCCTGCACTTCCAGTTCTCCTGTCCAAACTGATTTGATCTTCTGGCTTTCATCTTCTCTCACTGATCCAGCTGTGCCACAGGTGGAAAAGCTGCAATGTGCTCCATCCCTACTCCTGCACAGACAGCTTTTATTTCCTTCCATGGAATTGTGGGCAAGCTTGGGTCGAAGCACCGGGCTCTCACTAAAACTGAGGAACAAACAGGACACCATTTTCAATCTAAATTCTACAAATTTCTAAGTGTAAGGTGTAAAAAAAATATTCAACTCAAGTAAAATATTTATGTGGCAAAACCATTTTTGTGCAAAGCTTCACTCAAAGCATGATTTGAGATGGAGTCACAATCTTTAACCTCTGTGTATTTGTAGTACTAAATTTTAAATTTTGGACTATGTCCTCAGTTAAACTCTAACAGCCTTTAAGGAAGACAAACCCCGCCCCAAAAACACAACAGAGAAAAGTCAACACAAAGTTTAGATCCCACAGGGACTATTTTGAACTTAATATTTCCAAGATCTCTCTTTTTGGGGTTTTCTTTGCTAAGGAAGTCACTTTTCCCAACTGCTGCTGCATTTGGGAAAAGAAAATCCCTTTTCATGAGCATTTAAAATCAACATAAGTAGCAAACACTAAAGCAAAGTCTGGTATACACACAAATTTGAGCCCACAAAGTCTAAAGATGACAAAGAAATTATTTGCTACAACTTTTAGGGCAATTATGGGGACTGATAATTGCATTATTTACTATTTTGAGTGCTGATATATCTTACAGTTGTGAATATGTGGATTGTGGATTTGTGCTTGAATTTGCAAGTAAGAAAGCAAATTAGTGGAAATAAAGAATATATATTTATTGGTATTATCTGGTATATCAAAAAATAAGTAAAACATAACTGAAGTGTTGAAAAAATTGTGAACTGTGTTCAGTGTCAAGGCTTTGGGCACAAAGTGATCACAGAACGTTAAATAAATTAAGAAAAAAGTTACAAAGAGGCAACAAAGGAGATGATCTGGCAGTGAGATGGAGTTGAGAGCAGAAACAGAGAGGAGTTACAAGTCTGGACAAAGTAACTATTTAGAATATTTAGAAAAGGTTCAGAGACTAAAGGTAGATTCCATAAAGGCATGGGGTATCTTAAAAATGGACTTTTAATAAGAAGAAACTGTAGCAAAGTGAGCAAAGCAGTTCCAGAAAATGCTGGAAGAACATGCCTGGCAGGAAAGGAAACACCAGGAAAAAGACAAACATTCCCTAAATCCAAAGCATGGAGTAGATGTTCATCAGCTGCTGAAAAGCTGCTGAAAATTCAGAACTGTTTTTCAGAAGAACTAAGGAAATTCCAAACCACGAGCTCCAGGGACAAACCCTCATGGGAAAAACCACAAATCACACACAAAGGAGCAGGAGTTTCTTTAAGCAGAACTTCAAGAGACCACAAAGCGCAACTTCCGCTGCCTTTGCACCGCCATTCCCAAGGAGTTACATCCTTGGAGTCCCACTCCATGGCAGTTACAGCAGGAGACACCCAAAATGACACAGCAGAGCCCCAGGAACAGCACGTGGGACAGGATGAATTTGACATCGTGGAGATCCTTCCACTGGGGACCCTCCCATGACACAAACGCATCCGGGCAGCCGCGATCCCACCCGGAGCTACGGATTCCAAGGTTGGGATCACATGGAGACGCCAGGGGGAGGAGAGCAGAACTTTCAGAGGAGTTAAATAAATTATATATATCAAATATATGAATATGAAATATAAATATAATTATTATATATTAATATTAATACAATAATGTTAAATAAATTTTAGTTTCACAACAGCTCATCCAACTTGGCACGAAGGGAAAAGCGATCTGGGAATGGCATCTCCAGCAAGGACACTGGAGAATCTCATTCATCGACTGTTCCCAGCTCTCAGCATCACAGTTCAGCCTTTTCCTGCACAAAACTGAGAATTCCTCAACTAGCCAGCTCTAGAGTCTGCAGTTGTTCAGAAAATTATGAAGGTTTTCATCAAAAAAAATAATCAAGACTAATAACAGTAATATTCAGCAAATACTCTTTATTTGCTGGAGAGTGTATAAGGAATTGTGAAGGATGTATCAGGAGTCTCACATGACACTATTTACTTGTGGAGGGAAAAAATCAAGGGAGACAGAAGGCAAATCTATAGCCAGTGCAGATGGACTTGATTTAAATTGTACTTCATTTAAATGCAACCTCTCACACCTGCAAACATCAGAATATATTCATTTATATCAGCACATTGTAACCCGACAGCAAAAATAATAGAACGTAGGAAATTACCTTGTGCCTAAAAGTTATTAAATTACAGAATTCAAGAATTAGTCTAAAAATGCTTAGTTGTACAAGAATTCTTGACTTTAGTCAATGAAAAATTTAATGAATTAGCTTAGATTTCTTCTAAGTAAATATCTGAAGTTTGGCAATCCATTTGTGATTGGCAAAATCTTATTTCCATTCTGCAGGAATTCTTTCCAAAGAAAGACTGTCAGTGTTCAGGATGCTGCCCTGGCTATTCTCCGTCCTGCACTGCCACACCTTCGATTCCATAAACACAATATTCACTTTAACTTTCAAATACAAATGTTTGGAGTACAAAAGTTGGCAGTGAAAGGGCTGGATTTGTTCATTTGCTTTGTGAGTTTATACCATTTTATAAAGTATGGACAAAGCCATGAGAACATATTTAGATACCCAATACCTTTTCATAAAATCCCAGAATCATTCAGGTTGGAAAAGTGCTTTAAGATCATCGAGTCCAACCACTGCCACCGCTGTCCCATGTCCATGAGTGCCACATCCACATGGTTTTTAAATCCAGGGATGGGGACTCCTGGAGAGCCTGTGCCAGTTCTGGACAAACCTTTCCATGAAGGAATTTTCCTCAATATCCAATCTCAACATCCCCTGGAAAAACTTGAGGGCATTCCCTCTTGTTCCTTGGAAGCAGAGACCAACATCCACCTTTCATGAGAATGCTCCAACATTCTCCAGCATTGCCACTTTTCAAATGTCAGGAGTGTGAGGAATTAGGGCACATTGATTTTAGACACCAAACACTGATTCATATCTATAAAAATGGAAATGTTTATGCAGATGCATCAGATGCATCATGTACTGTTTATTTCGATATTAAACCATAATTTAAATCACTCAACTCTATGAACCAGAGCACTCTTCATCAAAATCTCAAAGTTTATTTTTTATCTAGGAAAGGATGAAGCTAAAATTATCCCACCACAATACGATGGGTCACAACTCAACCACTGTCCAGAACTCCCTGCTGCCAAATTAATGTGCTTTTATAGGAGGCAATGGAAGGACACGAGTGCTTTTGCCTTGGAGATGGCTGGATGAAGCCCTAGGATTTTAATCACAGATTTTTCTCCTATCACTGAGTGTTTTAATTACTTTTAACAGACAGTTGAGCAGCACAACTGAGGTGATATCTGTAGGCTAAATCTCCCTTGGCCTGCTGAGTGCTGACTGGGCTGTCTGCCCTGAGCTGGGATGGATCCTCATTCTGTGAAGGTGTATCCCAACAGGCTGCATTAAATCATCGAGAATTATGAAAAATGCCCCATTTGAATTTGCCCAAGCTTGCTGGGGATAAGCTGGAAGAAAAACTCAAGATAAGAAGGGCCAGTGACTGCATATGGCTTTTTGTACATTATTTTTGCTGCTGTCTCTAGAGCTGACTTCGGGTGGTCGCAGCACCTTCCCAGCAATGATGCTGGACTCCCTGTTGGACAATGAGGAGATAAAAACCCAACACCCAACTTGTGTTCCACAGCTATCGACCGCATCACAGAAATGGGTGGGGTCTCTACATTCACCACGGGCAAAAATGGCAATAAAAACAATCTGAACGCAATTGGGTTGTGCTTTCTTCCTCTGTCCCTTCAATTTTTTCTTTTAGTCCATCCTACTGGTTGAGAATTTAAATAACAGAACAAACTTTTCTGGTTTCAGACTTGAGGTCCATCTCAGACACCTGCAGCAGATGCCTTGAATTGGTATTGGTCTCACAACTGCTGCCTCCATGAAGAACTGATGGGGTTTTTTTAAGGGAATGTAGACTCACACACCTATCCCTTAATTAGAGGGAAAAAAAAGCTTTCTAAATTCTGAGGGCTGTTCCAATTCTACTCAATCTAAACATGATCCCATTTCAATTTCCCATACTAAATTCCCACATCCCTTTTAGAGCAGCCCAATTAAAGGTGCACAGAAAGATAAGTTGCCTCAAAATGTAAAGGAAAAAAAAACATTTTCAAAGATGTTTTATTGTCAGTGATAAACAGAACTACAAAATGTGTTTGGGTTACACATTTAATTGTGTAACATTTTCTACTATATATTTTTACCTGTTATAGTTTGGTTTCTTAAATAAAAAAGGGGTTTTTTTTATCAATTCAACTTGCTAAATATAAACATATAGAAGCTCAGGATATTCTTATTCTTTCCTTTTTTTTAAATCCACAACTATTCCCTAAAAATACAATACACAAAGACAACGAGCTGTCTTAGCCAAAGTTGCATTAAAGAAATTAGAAATCTTGAATATGGCATTAAAATCCTTTAAAATTGCATTAAAATCCTTAGAAATGGCATTAAAATTCTTAAATATAACAACAAAATTCTTAAATATAACATTAAAATTCTTAAATATAGCACAGAATTTCTTCAAGATAGCATTACCAATAGTTTAAATGAACATTTCTCTCTGTATGCTCCAACAGAGATATCTGGGCAAGTCAGTCACTTTTAAGGCTCAACCATGTTTTTCTTAATGTTGCTTCACCGAGGATTCAGCGAAAGCTCCGTTCTGCATTTAATCCCTGAGCTGCCATCAGCTGCCAGCCCCGCAGCATCCCCATAAACCATATGGCCCCGAGGAAGGCGGGCGGCCCTTTCTGCTCACATCTGTTGCTGCGGCACCAAAAGGCTCCCGGGGCTCCCAGGCGGGGGCCAGAAGGCAGCGAGAGCCCGGCACACGGCTCTGTCACCATGGTCAGGGCCACCTGGCATGGCCAGAGGCACATGGAGCATGCAGGGGGATGCTGGGCATAGGGATATTCCTGCTCAAAGTTCTTCCCCGGATAAAGGACACAGGGATCTGCTCCAGATTGGGCTTGTGGGGATGCTCTCAAGGCTGGAG